GACAGGGGGGGGGCAGCACTGTGTAAAATGGCTCATAAATAAGTTGAGTTGGTCCAAGCCTGCTCTGCTGGTTGGAGCTGGTGTTGGAGCTGGGACTGTTCAGGCAAAGGTCGAGGCAGAGGTCACCGAGTGCTGCTCCACTGGGCTGGGAAATGACTGCGCTGTGTGGAAACAGGACGGGGGATCGGCTGGGCGACCTCGCCGGACTGCTGAGGAAGGCGGTCCGCTCGTCGGTTTAGTCCGAGACCGCTCTCAAAGCAGCAGAGATAGCTGGTCATTTGGACCAATGAGGAAGTGGAAAGGAATGAAATGAAGTGTGGGAGTGAAATATGACCAGTACGTTCATGTGACCAGAGTGAGACTGAAGTGAAGTCTGAATGAAACTATCCAGTTATGATGAACGTCCACTTTTCAGATCCACATGGAGAAACAGAAAAGTTACTGGTCATTAAATACAGACAGCGTCAGTTGACCTTTTGATGTTTGCACGGCGAGAGTTTTGACTTTTGTCTGTAGTGGTGAGATCATTAGTCTGGAGTCTGTGATTAAAAGACGCTGGATAATGATTTTCATCAACTGGCCCTTCATTAATAAGACTCATTTCTCTGGAGGAGCACAGCTTGATGTTCAGTGATGAACAGTTTTCTGTGAATCGTTATGTAGGAAGGTTTGTTTGAAATCCAAATACATTTGAGTTTGTTTACAACAGCTGGTGTGTACTTAACAGCTTCTGTAATTAATTTTGACCTAGCACAACTCTTCTGCTGGAGTTGTTGATATAGTGAACACACACACACACACACACAGATGCAGGCGATGTAGAATCCTATTATGAGAATGGTTGAAATCTGCTTAAAATTTGAACTGAACTCACAGTAGTTTCCAGTAAAGGAGAGTGAGAGACTGTGGAGGACGAGGACAAACACGTTCATACTCCCTCCAGTTTCTGATTGAAAAAAATTACAGTTGTAATACAAATCTGCCCCGGGCAGAACCAGAGTTTGACAGGGTTAATTTTGATGAAACGAAGCTCTTAGCCGCACTGAGCATGAGCTGTGTGTGTGTGTGTGTGTGTGTGTGTGCAGTCGACCATGTCATCCCTGCCTCTTATAGACCCCACCTCAGCAGCAACATCTCACATGTTAATAACGTTTGCCCCGAGCTCACGGACGCCACCATCAGGCCTGTAGAAACAGCTGCAGATCCAGGCTGTTCTGGATCTGTTGATTCACGACTGTGACCGCGGTTAGCTGCAGAGGGAGAAGCCTGGAAACAGGTCCTCAAATGAACCGTGCTCTGCCCGCCTACCTGCCTGTCATCCTTATCTACAAATACCCCCCCCTCCCCCTGCCCTACTTGCCTTGATGTCTCTCGCTGTCTCCCTGTTCCGACCACTTTGTTCTCTTTAAAAGAATCATGTTTTAAAGGTTTGATCAAAGTTCTGTATCCTTTTTTTTTTGCTGATTTAAATGTAGAGCTTTATCTTTTTATCGTCGTTGGAGTGTGAGGTCCGATGGCTGGGTTTCCGGGCCTGTCACTGAACATGCCTCCTCCCCCCCCCCCCCCAGTACAACTAACCCCCCTTCTCTGTCTACTTGTTCTCTCAATGAGGATGGCGCCATCTCCCAAGCACCGCTCTGCTGGCACAGCATTTACAGAGAACAGTGTGTGCATGGAGACGGATAGACCGAGGAGAGGAGAAGAAGGTAGAGAGAGAGGAGGCAGGATGGTAGAGAGAGAGGAGGCAGGAAGGTGGAGAGAGAGGAGGCAGGAAGGTAGAGAGAGGGGGCGGGAGGGGAGAGAGAGAGGGGGGAGGAAGGGAGAGAGAGGGGAGGGGGGGGGGTAGAGAGAGGAGGCAGGAAGGTAGAGAGAGGGGGCGGGAGGGGAGAGAGAGAGGGGGGAGGAAGGGAGAGAGAGGGGAGGGGGGGGGGTAGAGAGAGGAGGCAGGAAGGTAGAGAGAGGAGGCAGGAAGATAGAGAGAGGAGGCAAGAAGGTAGAGAGAGAGGAGGCAGGACGGTAGAGAGAGAGGAGGCAGGAAGGTAGAGAGAGGGGGCGGGAGGGGAGAGAGAGAGGGGGGAGGAAGGGAGAGAGAGGGGAGGGGGGGGGGTAGAGAGAGGAGGCAGGAAGGTAGAGAGAGGAGGCAGGAAGATAGAGAGAGGAGGCAAGAAGGTAGAGAGAGAGGAGGCAGGATGGTAGAGAGAGAGGAGGCAGGAAGGTAGAGAGAGGAGGCAGGAAGATAGAGAGAGGAGGCAAGAAGGTAGAGAGAGAGGAGGCAGGACGGTAGAGAGAGAGGAGGCAGGAAGGTAGAGAGAGGAGGCAGGAAGGTAGAGAGAGGGGGCGGGAGGGGAGAGAGAGAGGGGGGAGGAAGGGAGAGAGAGGGGAGGGGGGGGGGTAGAGAGAGGAGGCAGGAAGGTAGAGAGAGGAGGCAGGAAGGTAGAGAGAGGAGGCAGGAAGATAGAGAGAGGAGGCAAGAAGGTAGAGAGAGAGGAGGCAGGATGGTAGAGAGAGAGGAGGCAGGAAGGTAGAGAGAGGAGGCAGGAAGGTAGAGAGAGGAGGCAGGAAGATAGAGAGAGGAGGCAAGAAGGTAGAGAGAGAGGAGGCAGGACGGTAGAGAGAGAGGAGGCAGGAAGGTGGAGAGAGAGGAGGCAGGAAGGGAGAGAGAGAGAAAGGCCGGCAGACGAGGTTAGGAGGGTTAGACGTCACGACAGGAACCAAGATTGAGCCCTGTGACATGGAGGGAGATTGTCCCACACAGTGGACAGGAGGACATTGGACTGATGCCTCTCAGTGGGACACCAGTGGTTTAGATGTTAGCCTGACACTCAGAGAGAGTCTGGGCATCAGATCCTCTGTCTGTGTCAGTGGAAGCCTTTCCTTTTTTACCCACTTTTTTTAGACTTTATGTTCAGACAAGTGAAGGGATGTTTTCAAAGGTCAAAGATCTTCACTCTGGTCATACATCAAACCAACGGGCAGCTGACGTCCACGTCCACAAATCCAAGGGTAATGGTTATTTAGGCTGTTGATAGTGTAGCGTGAATGTGTCTCCGGTCTTTGAAGACAGTAAATATTTGTATGATGATCAGAACCAGAACGACTGCAGTCTCTCATGTAAGAAAACAAATGTTTGCTCTTCTACCAGAACACATATTTGTTGAGAACTTGTGTGTCATCTCCACCACATTCACCTACATATTTGCTGAAGGTTGGCAGTTAGATTCCCCAGTTTTCCTGCGACCTTAACTCAGCCAACTTATTATATTTCAGGTTTAATGCTGTAGTTTTTACTGGGCCGTGTTTCCCCAGGGGAGACTTTTATTGTGAAACACATCCAAGCTAAACCAACCTTCACTTCATAAATCAAGGTTAAAAAACATCTCTAATTGCTATATAAACATTGACCTCCATGGAACACAGGTGCTGTTGGTCTGTGTGAGAATAGAAAGCTGTTTTTTTCCCACATGTGTGTCTGTTATTATGTCTTCATGTCTTCATGTCCTGGTCCTGACAGCGCGTTGCCTCCTACATATCTACCTGAAGCCCTTTATTTCTGCTGTAAAGTGTTCATTCCAGAACTGCTTCTCAGGGCTCGTTCAGAGAATGTTTTCTCAACACGTTGTCTTATTTTCCCAAGTGAATTTCCAACGACACTGTGCGGCAGCTCGGCAGATTTCTGTGACTTAAACCACATTAGAATCCGTTTTGTGCCTTTGTTGCTGAAGGGCTAAACAGAACAAGAGATTTACGGCTAAACCTTACAAAAATATGTTGTTGTTGTTGTTGTTAATATTTCTTTTAGTCAACATATTAGCGGACCAAAAATGTGTGTTTTGGCCGACCGACGGTGCTTCTTTGTTTTGTGGTGAATGAAGACTAATTTAAATGCACGTATCAGGGACTCGTCAGTGGAGAACTGAGCTCGGTACTTTCCTAAAGGACCCCTGTATTAATGAGTGTCCAGTTCACAGACAGCGTTTCTTTCTATTCTTGAATATGTGTCCTGTCTAATCAAGGAAACAAACAACCAACCAATGTCAGAGAAATGTGGCTGATCTGTAATAACTTCACTTCAGACGTGGCACCGTCGTGAACACATCAACTCCTATCAGGATTATTAACTGGGATCAGTTAACATCAGTTCAACTCTTACTCCAACAGGGCTGGAGCTCAGCTCGTGGGTTTTCACCCCTGTATCATGGCCAGAGCAGCGTTGTTTGTCATGCTCCTCTTCCTGCTTTCGTGGCCTTGAGGGATTGTTGTTATAGGCAGTTTTCTTGTCCATGTGCTGCTCTTAGAAAAGCACAATCAGTGGGATAAATTTGGCTCCTCTCTTCAGTCCTGGATTTATTCTTCTGTTATTCTGCATTTTAGCATAAAATACCTTTTTCTCCCACATAAATATCCTCCGTTCTATGACAGCAAAGACGATAGTGGTGTAAAAGTGAGTTCCTTTACCCTCGGCTCTGTT